GTAAGAGAAAATTCCAATTAGTAGAGAAATTAATTTGAAAAATTACCTTGACGTTTCGATAGCTATTTTCTGCTATCGTTATCAAAAGAACCTAAGTGAACCTAAAAAAGAGTATGTTAATAAATTGTGTAACAATAGTAGGATAATACAGTATATGAAATTTCGTCTGTGCAAATTGTCAGCTATGTGACTTTGACTTAATTCACCAAATTCCTTTTCTCGATATGCTAATTCAGAAAAATTTAAACAATTTCGAAACCTTGGTCTATAGAAAACCTACTCATACTAACCGATATTTGAATTTCGACTCAAATCACCCGATAATGGTTAAAAAAGGTATCGTAAAAAGTCTATATGATGGATCAAAAATAATTTGATCGGGGGTAATTGCACAAGTGCTTCAAAATTACCTGTAATTTTGCATGAAAACTTGTTGTCTAAAAACTGCATGAGTTTTTATCTGTTTATTTTGATGCACGAGTGTAATTTTGATGAATATATCCTGAGTAAACAAAGTAAATGTGGATTCACTTTATTTCTATTATATTTTATTACACTTTTAATTTTATTACTTATGTTTATTAAGTATAATTTGAATATCTTAGGTATGTCAGAAAGACATTTGATGTCTAATTCAACATTAAAAGACACCTGTCAAATATTTTTTGTAAACAATGCAATTATCCTTGAGTGATAATTGCACACTGTGCACGGACATATTATCTTCCGAAGGAACTATTCAATCTAATTTTTCCAAAGAAAAACAATTTATAAAATAAATTCTAAATTTCAATAATTATCCAAATTCTTTTATTGGAAAATGTTTTAACGAAGTTGAATTACCACGAACAAAACAAAATCAAAATAAACCTATTACGAACCTTTTCATTCCATTAATTCCAGGACTTTCCGATCAAATTAAACGAGTAGGTAATAAATTTAATATTAGGACTAACTTCAAAACTGAAAATACAATTAGAAGCAAAATTGCAGTAACAAAACCTCATGATATAATTGAAAATACAAAAAATGTAATTTATAAAATTCCTTGCGAATGCAATAAATTTTATATAGGAGAAACCTCAAGACCATTACACAAAAGACTCAAAGAACACCAATCATACATAAAAAACAGATAATATCATAAATCACACATTTGTCCACATGCATTTGATAATTGTCATAAAATTCAATGGAATAATTTCACAATTTTAACAAAAGAACAATCCACAAACTAACGTAAAATTAAAGAAAGCGCACTAATTTTGTTGCTTCATGTTCATTTAATTTAAGTCATACATGGTTACCTATGCTAAAATCTGAAGTAGACCAGAGAAACATACACCCAAATTAAATTTACTGTATATACTGTATTATCCTACTATTGTTACACAATTTATTAACATACTCTTTTTAGGTTCATTTAGGTTCTTTTGATAACGATAGCAGAAAATAGCTATCGAAACGTCAAGGTAATTTTTCAATTTTCAATAAAAGACGTGAGGAAATTCTGTCTTTTTTAAAGACAAACATTTTTGAGGCGAAATACCCAAATTTGAGTGAAAATGTTTTCAATGATTTTTGCAGTAGACCGGCTGTCGCTCAACCGGTAAAATGTACAATGTCAGACAAGTCGACAAAGACGGACGATGTCCTGTTGAATGGGTGTGACAGAGAGAGCGTGCCCACCACAACAAATGCCGCAACCATGACCACCACTGTGGTAAGTCGAAGACGAGCGGGTAAAGGAAAAAATGCACGTCGACCCGGCTTGCAGGTTTTGCCGACAGAGGGAGCTGCGCGGCCTGTCGGCACTGCCACCACTCAGTCGGCATTCCATCGGCAAGACTCAAAAGGGGGCGGCCCGCAGCCCGTTTCTGCTCCTTCTCCTCCACCAACGGTAAGTTCGAAACTGTTTAGCAGTCTCTGCAGCTTTTCCAGGGAATATTGTGAGTGGCATTGTTGATTTTCAGGATTCCCCTGGGCATCCGCCGCGAATGAGCTACGCGCAAGTGGCTCAACATCACAAGGACGGACAAATCAAAGGCGGCAAGCAGGCGGCGCCCTCTGCTGCGCCAGCAGACAAGGCCTTGGACAGCCCACCTGCGCATAATCAAAAGGCGAGCCAGACCTCGTTGGGAGCAGGCGCGCGGACGTCCCAAGCCGAACGTGATAGTAGTGTTAAGGATAGTCGAGGTGAGGCATTTTGTGGTGGCAAACAGTGGGAAATGAATGAATACATGGGGCTTTTTGGCATGCGCAGACTATAAGAATGATGGACCGAGGCCAGGAGGACGCAGCAACCCGTCGAATGGTCGGCAGGCCGCTCATGATCGTCCAGGGCGCCGGAAACCGGAGCCCCGCCAGACGCAGCTGCGGGATTTTGTGCCGTCGGCGCCCCGCTCTCCTAAGTAGGGCCCCCACTCTGGGCAACTGTGCGCAAAGTGCATCTTGGACTATTAGCGGCCTGTTAACAGGTTTGATATTGCGCGCGTGGAGCAGTCCATTCTTCTGTACTTCTGTGCGAACAGTGACGAACTTTGCGAACTCTATTAGTTGATAATTGTTTAGCAATCTGGAAGTCTTCAATTGCCGACGTTCCACGTTGTTTGCAAAACCCGGTGCATTCGCAGATCGCCGGAGCTGTTCGCCACTCAGACAATTGTTCAGTGTTGTTCCTAGAGCCGGACGAAGTTGAGTTGAATCGAACGCAAGCATAACACGGACGATATTGACGGCGCTGCGTTGTCTGTGATTGTCCGCGCTCTTTAATTTTTAATCGTTCTTGGTTGGCGAGGTCGGTGATCGGGTTGGCCACGGCCTTCTCCCCTTGCTCCAGATAAGGCCTAATGTTTTCCAGTCCATCCAGTTCAGTCTCAACTCGGCAACAACCTCATGACTCGGTTAATTTGCGTGTCTTGGGCCGATCTCGCGCGTCTTTTCCGAACCCAACCCGCCGTTTACTGTGTGTATGCATGTTTCTTGTACAGGCTGATATATTAACGATCATTAATATGTTTAAAGATTATTTTTGACAGAAATAACTACTATTCTTACCATTTAACTGTATAAGCTGTATAAATGGGACTATAGCTATAATATTGTATATTTATAATTTGTTGTTGGGTTTTTCGATTAGGTTTTACCGGCCCTCGATCGTTGACTGCTGGTCACTTTCCGGATAGCTGGCGATCCAGGGCTTTAGCGATACGAACGCTTGGCTGCTGTTCTGTTGCTCGACCGCACGCTAGTGATTTGTACATGCGTCTTCGAACCGTTTTAGTTAGGGCTGCGTCGTCGAGGGCTTATCGACTATTTTGCTAGGTGATTACTAAGTTAAGATAGCTGAAATTGTGATTTTTATATTGTGCGTTGCCACCGTCGGGCAATTCCCCGGTAGCCAAACAACTTTGTTAGAACTGACCGATTAACCCGAGCTTGTTGCAATTTCTCTGTAGGATGCCCGTGAGGGGAGCGGCATGGACGCACTACATACAAAACACTCACTGAACTGTAATTTATGTATCTATACTGTAAAGCTTGTTAATATGACCCCCCATGTAGTGCGTCTGTTCCGCGATTGTGAGGAGAATTCAAATTTTCAGCTCAGTTGATGTGAGTTTGGCCCCGGAGTTTCGCGAAAATCCCCTGTATATTATTGAGTACTTTCTATTATCCGATGGGCCAAAGTATCGTTGTTAATAGGCTGTGTTTGTACATAACTATAATACAGAGTGTTTGGGTGTCGCGGCAACGGTTCAGAAAGGCGTCCACTCTTCTCAGTATCATGAAAGGGCGTGCGGTCGACGCTGGATCGGCCGCCGCAAAAATCTTATTTTAAGACTGTTAGCTGATCATATGAATAATTTTAAGATTGTTATTTTGCCCGCAGGGCAACGCGCACCCTTTTCAAGCAACATACGAGACCAATGAAAGTATTTTTAAGTGAGAAAACAGCGCTCGGTTCCGGAACAGCGTTTCGGGGCCGGGGCGCCCAAAAAAAACTTAATTTCGTTTGGACGGAAGTCTCCTATGTTTTACTCCCGGGGTGTTATTTTTAAGGTCATTATTAATCAGTTATTTTCTTTTTTCCCATTATTTTCTTTAAGGTTTGCGATTAGCGCACGCCTAATGTTCCTCTCTGTCGAATGCATTTAAACATTACATCGGCAGCAAAAATCGAGTATTTTATTTTGTTCACCCGACCCATCCATTTGGCAGTTGACCGAAAGAGGCTGATTAGGTTTGTCCTAATCCAGACCCGCGGGGCAGGGTTTAATGGGGCTTTTTATTCATTTCACTTGCGTTCACTTTTAGGGTTTCGCCTTTGTTTTATATAGAAGAGACTTTAGACAGTGATATGACTTAATAATATATAAATAACTAGTTGTACGTCGAAGATTGTGTATAAAATTACTACTATTAAAATGTTTGGAAGAACGCAATGTTTCCGTGAGGACAGTCAGACACCGCCTGCAATTCCTTTCTTTATCCCGACTGCAAATTAAATTCCCCGGAGAGAACACAACGCAAGGGGGCTCCCTTAACTTATTTATTGAAGCAGCCACAATTAACAGCCTCAACTCTACTTGTGGGCAGCGGCAGCCTTCCGCATCTGGGTCAGGATGTTGGACAGTTCCTCACGCTTCCTCTTGGCCCTGATGTGGGTTCCCAAACGCCTCTTCAGGAACTTCAGGGCTCGCTTGTCCTTTGAAACCTGCATAGAAAGAGCACGTCCACCTGAGAGGGGGCTAATTATTGCAAACTGAATCACTCACTTTCAGCAACTCCATTCCACGCTTTTCGTACGGAGCGTGCCCCACTACCTCGCGGATCAAGTCCCTCACGAACTTGGTGTGATGAGTCTGGATGCCCTTCAATCTAGCAGGCCGCACCTTGTCGGCCTTGGTTTTGCCCGACCGAATCTTGGTGGTTTTGTGCCCCTTTTGGAGCCCTACGGCGATCTCATAACGTGGTGCCATGCTAAGAAAAATGCGGTTAGACTTCCCCACAACACCTGGCCCAAAACCAACACTCCTAACTAGCCCTAATGAAGGCCGTGAATGCCTGTTATTGTAAGGGCGTTTTCGCTAGCTTTGCGCGAAAAACTCACCTTTTACTAGTTTTTCCGGAATTTCCACCGCGTGTTCCACACTATGGCGACGATGATGAAAAAGACAGCTAATGTGACGTTTGCGACAAGTGGCATTCGATCAAGCGCGCCAAGCGAGCGGCGTCAAACCGAAATGCCCTAGTGTACACTGGCAAATTCCCTAGAATTTCGAGGTTAGGACAGTGACAATTTGAAAATCTCGGTAAACAAAGTTATTTTCGGGTTTTCCTGCTCAATTTGGACGATTGCCAGTTCGATTTAATATGTCTGGGGTCAGTGTGGCGGTGCTGTGCCCCAATGGGCGCAGGCAGACAGTCAAGTGCACCCCAAACACCACCATTCTACAAGTTAGCAGCCCCCCTTTTCCCAAGTGTTCCCTCGTTTTTCGATTTCGAATTTCAGGTGATTGAAGAAGTGTGCAAGAAGCAGGGCCTGAACGCTGGCGACTACGACATCAAGCACCATAACAAGGTGCTCGACACCACCACAACCTTTAGGTTTTCGGGCCTGCCGAATAACGCCCAGCTAGAACTAGCGGCGGCCCTAAAACAGCGGGCCGAGGGCAATGTGACTTTGGCAGTTAATCTTGAGGATGGGTCTCGCGTCACAGGTGGCCGCCTGAAACGGTGCAACTCCCCCCGAGTAACTTGCCGGTTTGCAGGAACTTTCACGCCTAATGCCACCCTGATGCAGGTCTTGAACACCGTGTGCCCGGCCCGTGCCCTCCCAGACACTCACCCAGTAGTAGTCTACACCAGGAGGGAAATCTATGGCAGGGAACTGGAAAACTGCACCTTGCGAAGCCTGGGCTTGATGGGTAAGTGAGGCCTAATGGCCTCAGCCCTGCCCCTAGAGCTTGGACGGTTTCAGGGGGCCGAGCTATGATCAGGGTGCTGAATCGCGACCCCGATCTGCTGAGGGAACAGGCCAACGTCAGCGCCCCTTTGCCCGCAAAGCCTGCCGAAGAGAAGCCCTACATTAGGAAGTTCCAGCCAGTTGAGACTCAGCCAGAGCAGACCCTGCCGGAAGGCAGCGCCACAGCCCATGACTACGGCCAGGGCCAGACGCTGGGCGGCTCAGAAGGTATGTTTCCACACAGCTCTACCCAAGAACCCAAGCGGGAAAAGACCCAAAAGAAGCCTCCAGTGGATTACCTGAAGCTGGCCAGGGAGCGGCTCAAATCCCCGGAGGGGGCCTCGGGCGCCCTTAATCGGGACTTGGGGGGAATGGAAGTGGACGCGCAGACATCCATCGAGCAGCAAAAGGGCATAGAAGAGGAGTTTTTGTTTGTAATGAAGCCGGCGCGCGACTGCGCTGGGGATTAATCGGGCCCCCATTTCAGTGCGGCGAAAGACACGGAATGGTGTTCTCGCTGGAGTCTGCACAAGCGGTGCCCAGTGAGGACCTGCCGGATGATTTCTTCGCCTTGACCATCGACGACGCCAAGCGAATTCTCCGGGACGTGAAGCTGAGCCGGCATGCCCTGGAGAACCAGGAGCTGAAAACGTCGCGGCTGCGAGGCCTGGACGAGGCCAAGAAGCAGCTGCGCAGCCTAAATAAGTACGTAACTGGCCAACTGAAACTGGAAGGTGTTAATGGCGCGCTTGCAGGTACAAGAAGGCCATAATTCGCGTGCAATTCCCTAACCGGACGGTGGTTCAGGGCATCTTCAAGCCCACTGAGACTGTTCAGGATGTGGTCGAGTTCGTCCGCAGCTATTTGGAGGATCAAACGGTGGATTTCTACGTTTGTATGTATCGATGACGGCGTGTCCCAACAGTTTCAAGCGGCTGCGGTTGCAGATTCTACGCCCCCAAAGTGCGTGCTGGACAACCAGAGCAGTCTGTTGGAGATTGGGTGTGTGCCAGGCGCTTTGCTCTATTTCGGGGCCGATGGGAAGGCCACAGGCGAGTTTCTAAAGGCGGAGCTGCTCAGCAGATTCACCACTAACAGTGCGGCCAGCTTGGCCGCCGCCCGAATCAGGTGGCATTAGATAAGGTGGCGGTTTGTGGCTTGGATTAATTGGAACGAATTGCAGGCAGGAGAATACCAGGCAATTGGACTACCAGCAGCAGCAGGATGATGAGATTTTGATGGAAACTGATGACTTGCCAGTCAACTGTGGCGCTGGGACCAGTCGGGATGGTGAAGAAGCAGCTGATCCAGTCCCTGATCGGAAATTAGTCAGCAACGCTGCAGATTATCCCAGGTGGTTCAAGCCAATGTAGCTCGATTTCAATTAAAAGTGTTCAGTTTTTCTGTTTACTATTTTTGTATAAAATTTAATACTTTCACTAGTTTCTTTCCAGACCTAAAACCCACTCCTTGCACCTACAGAGTCATTTTTAAATTAAATCAATTAGAATGTACGCAATTCAGCTCGTGGACAGTCGCAAAAGCTCGGGCGGTTTTAAGATGTCGATGGTGGCGGCCATATTTCATAGCTCTGTCATCAGTCATACTGGTCAGCGGCGCTGTCAACAACACAAAACTTCGGGGGGCACGCCAACAAAACCTAATTTGTTTCTTTGTTTTGGCGCTTCTTTTTGATTTTCTGATTGAAAATGCCCCCAAAGAAGCGGGAGAAGGAGCCGGAGGCGACCAAGAACCCCCGCATCGACCACATCCAGGCCGATCATGAACTGTTCCTGCAAGCCTTCGAAAGTAAGTGACTGAAGGCTTTCGGGCAGTTTTCCGCCACTGTTGGCCCCCTTGTTGTCTGTTACAGAGCCCACACAGATCTACCGGTACCTGCGGACGCGAAACATGTGCTCGGTAAGAGATGTTTGCTTAATCGCCCCAATCTGCTGGTTGGGGGTTTCTAACCTCCAGCCCTACATTGCAGCCGATATTCCTCAATCGAACGCTCACCTACATGAAGCATCGGATGTCGCGTACGAACAAGTCCAGAGTAAACTTCAGGCTGGACAGTCTATTGCAAAAAGTGACCGACAGGAAGGAGAACGCTTTCATTCAACCGGGGTACATCAATCTGACTTTTTTAGGCTTTAACAATGCCTCGATGCAGGGCGATTGCGACTATGCCCAAGTTGAAACCATCCTACTGAAGATCTCACACAAGAAAAGAAAGGACAGCTCGGCCACGAGCATGCAAATCACTTTAGGTAGACTGCAGTGGCCGCCACTCATCCGAGACCGATTTGCTAACAATTCCGGTGATTTTCAGGGACTGCTGAGGTGCCAATCAACCCCCTAGATGGGCACATGCCCCTGACAGCCCCCACCATCAGCATCCCGACCGAATCATTCAGCAGCGGCAATGGGCCTTTGGTGAAAAGCTTCATGCTGGTGTTCAAAGTAAAAGTGGTCGTCGATGGGGAGCCGACCGACACCGAGGAGCCCAATGCGAAGAGACGCAAGTCCACCAATGGTACCGCCAGGTTGCAAAACGCGCTGAATCTAGCCATCAAACACCCTGATTTTCACAGAACCCAGCAACATGAAGATCTACAGCGCCGAGCTGACGGTCTATGACAAGCACAATCGCTGCTACTTATCAGATGGCGACTACGACATTGTGGTGCAGGACTACGCGCAGGCTGTTTACCGCAGCAGCCACAAGAAGCATTCCAGCTGGGAGAACGTGAGCGACCTGATGGAGACCTGCAACAACATCGACGCCTATATGAAGGGCGCCATCCTGAAGTTCAAGCTCAACTGGAGCCATGAGGCCTGCGCCAAGATGGTCGAACGCCCCAAACTCTACCCCTTGGACAACAAGGAGAACAACCCGGGCCTGGCCAATGGGGAGGTTCCCGGTAAGCCGCACCAAGGCGCCAAAAACGCCTGTATGCTAAGCTTGAGTGCCTGCAGGCATTCTGGGGGAGGCCGAGCCGGAGAAGCTGCAAATCGTCTATCAGTTCGTCTATAACAACAACTCCAGGCAGCAGACGGAGGCCTGCGAGGACCTTCACTGCCCGTGGTGCTCCCTCAACTGTAACGAGCTCTACACCTTGCTGAAGCACCTCAAACTGTGCCATTCTCGTTTTGCTTTCACCTATGTGCCGATCAGCGTCGGGGCTCGCATTGATGTTGCCATCAACGAAATGTACGACGGCAGCTATACAGGTGAGCGTTGTGAGCGCGAATGAATTGCAATCAATCATCAGGTTGTTTTGTCCTTTTAATTAGGTTCTCCTCATGATCTCATCACCCAATCTTCGGTTTGTGCGTTTTCGCGTAACGGCCCAGTGCGACGAGCTTCGGTCACTCACATCTTGGTGTGCCACCCCAAAAGGCCTAAACCCAGCCTGTCCGAGTTTCTGGAGCTGGACGATTGCGAATATGACGGCCAAAGACCCTTCATTACCGGGCACAACCGGTAAAGCCTTCGAAAAGATGAGTGAACTTTGTTGCATGTTGCTCGTTTGCAGATTGTACCACCACACAACCACCTGCCTGCCGATCTACCCCAAAGAGATGGACATCGATTCGGAGGGCGAAAACGACCCCGAATGGCTGCAGAGCAAGACCATGATGATGATTGACGAGTTTACCGATGTGAACGAAGGTGGGTTAGTCAGGTCTGGATACCCCAAACAACTTTTGATCGCTTTCGCTGCTGTTGTAGGTGAAAAGGAGCTAATGAAAATGTGGAATCTGCACGTGATGAAGTACGGTTTCGTGGGCGATTGTCAGATCCCGTTGGCCTGCCAGATGTTCGTGCAGCAGAAAGGCAAAGAGCTGCTGCTGAAAAACCTGTACAGGAACTTTGTGCTGCACCTGACCTCGCTGTTTGATTTCGGCCTCATCAGTGCCGTGTGCCTTTACACGTCGCTGCAGAAGCTGCAGCAGATGGTCGGTGAAACGCAGGCTATCCGCAACGTGCTCAAACATGCCCGCGAAGCCCAGATGGACAACTTCAACCTGCAGAAGAGCAACCCGCTGCTGTCGCCGCACGTGCACGACAAACAATCGGCGTTGGCGTCGAAAACCACACCGCAAACCGGCCGGAAAACCGGTGGCAACATGCTGCTGCAGCGCCGCCTCAAACGGGGCCCCACACCAGAAAACCTGCCCGCTAGACGGAAGAGCGTCTGTGTGGACGCGGTGCCCACGAAGAAACGCCTCAGCTTGAGCCTGGCCAAGAACAGTTAGATTAGCGGCCGTTTTCCAGGGAGGTTTGTGAATTGTTGTTGAAATTCCCGGGTTGGGATGTGGAGATTCCACTCCGTCCAACTCCGTTGTTTGTTTTGTTTCTCAAACGCATTTGGATGTCGGAGCTTTGTCAAAGTGTAATGTAGTTGTCCGGTCGGGCAAGGTCGTACAAGTTTTAGTTTTTTGTGTCGGGCACGACACTGGTTTCAATTACTTTTTCATGCGATTAATGTGTTAAGTTTTTTACAAGGATCGCTTTTCCGTTCCCGCGTGCAGACTTACAGCAGGGCTTTTGTTTGCGTTTTCTCGTCTTGTAAAATACTTTAGTGGGTGCATTTCTCAAATGCCCCGACAGGTATGGAACAGTGTGAGCCACTGGGCACCTATCTTGTTACATTTTTCACTTATATATTTTGTGTGTTTATAGGATATAGCGTAATTTATTTATATTAAATGACATCACCAACATTCTGGACTCGGTGTGTTCGGTCCCGCCAATCCTGGATCCTTGCTCGAAGAGCGCAGGCTGCTATCGATTTGCTGAAAAGTGCGCTAAATGCTGCGACAGTTCCCTAATCCATGCCAATTTGTTTCCTCCCTGTCCTGCCCCGTTTCGTTTCCAATTATTTCACCAATTGGAAAATGTGCATAATGTGAAGGCGAGTGACGCGTCCAGTTAATCCATTTAGAAGACAATTTTAGTCGAGATGGGGAGCATGCAGGGCTTCTCCCTCGCCGTGACCCATTGGAGCTTCGGGATTATCATCCTAGTCGGCCTAGTTTCCTCCAATTTCTCCTCAGCTGAGGCCATTCTGGGGGTTTTGCTGGCTGGTTGTGCTTCCACGCTTTCAGGTAAACTGTGTTCATCCGATCGAAACTTTGCAATGACAATGTTCCGCTTTCAGCTATATGTAGTTATACGCCGGATGCCAGCGAGTTGCCTAAACCACAGCGAACTTTGCTCAATTTCCTGATCCTTTGGCTGGATGTTCTCAGCAACTTGGCGGCGGCTGCTGCATGTGCTCGCGTGACTAGCGCTTCCATTGACGTCCTGACCAAGAATCACTTCAGGGAGCTGTTGCTTGGAATGGAGCAGAGTGTGCTAGATGAGCGCTGGCCCGACCTGGTGGGAGTCCTGGTCATTCTAATGGCCACTATTATCCGCATGTTGGGCTTCGAGGTGAAGGGCCTTGCTAGGGCTGTCCCCAGCTACCTCTTTGTTGTTGTAGGTCGTCCACAAGTTCAGTGGGGCGGTGCTATTTCTGGGGCTGCTCACCTACTTTGCCATCTTCACCGTCATCGGCAGCTTCCACACGGTAAACTCTTTTGAACAGTGGGTGGATTCCCTGAAGCTTCACTCCTCAGTTGAGGTAAGACTGGTCTTGCCTGTGCTGCTGATGCCCACATTATTCGATTTCAGGTGTTGAGAGCCGGTGCGTTTTGCGCATTCGCCTTCGTCCACAAACTGCCCACCACCACGAGAAACAACGGGCTGAAAATCTTCACCATTCTCTTCATGCCATTGTTGTTCTACGTCGTCCTTATCATTGTGTTCTCCTTCATGACGCACTACAAGGAGCTGGAAGGTACCGCCATCCCGCTGGTCAAAGTGTTCCAGAATCGGGACGTGAACTGGGCCTGGCTGGCAATTGCATGGTTAACCGAATGCCTCCCGATTGTGTTGGTCATCCAAATCTTCCCTAGCGTCTACTTCGCCTTCCTTCGTTTGGCCAGCAAGGAGTGGAAGGTGTTTGTCAGCTCCATTCAGTATCAGAGCTTCTTGACTGGGGCGCCGGTGTTGGCCATTTTTCCCGCAGGTAGGGCTCAAGCAAACGCGAAAATCAAGTGCAGGATAAGAATAGCTTTTCCTCTGAATCCAGGGAGTTTGATGGCCATTCTGGCCTTTGCCTGCCCTCTGGCTTATCTGCTCAAGCTGCTCAATGTGGCCTGTTTGCTGAAGTGCGCCCTTGCGTCCTGCTCCTTGATGAACAACAGATACCGGCCGGATGTGTTGCACGCCCACCTTCAAGGTAATCTACTTCACTTACTGGTTTTGGGGGAAATTAGAATCTCCTCTTCCGGCACGTCAATTCCGAAATGAAGGATTGACAACAGTGGCGAATTCGCCATAGTGATAAGATACTCGGAAAACAGCCCTTAGTAAACTAGTCCTTGCTTGCAGCTTTCCCAACAGCGAACGTGAATTACAGCAAACTGGGGCCCCAGTCCAAGCCAGTATCGCGGCATCTGATCAGCTTCAAGGAGCGAGTTAAGGGCCTGTTTAGGAAGACGCCTCAGTACATCCACAAGCTCAGCTCCCCAAAAGGGCCCAGCCTGACGGTAGGCCGACCGCTTACAGGTGGGATTTGAGGGCGTTGGCCTCCCGGTGCTCATGCGTTTGATTGTAGAGGAGCAGGAGTGTCTGCTGTTCAAAGACGTCGAAATCAACCAAGCGGCGCTGAGTTTTGAGATGGGCGAGGGCAGCAATTCGGAAACGGAGGAAAACGAAATGGAGGCGCTGTCGGCCAGCGATGAGGAGAGTTCGACGGACATTGATGGCATCGTTGAGGAGTACAAGGAGGGAGTGAGGGTGAGTGGCTGGTTTCTGGCGGCAAGAGTCACTTTGGAAGGCCTGAGTTCAGTTGAAGGTGGCCACCATGGGGAGCTTCAAGCGCGCCACGCCGTCCACGAAATTGACTCAATTGGTTTTCTTGGTCTTTATGACGGTGATTGTGCTGAATGCTGCCAGCATTGCGCTGTCCATCCAGATAGTCAAGCGCTACTATTGGGTGGAAATACTTGGTAAGTTTCGCGCCCCAATGGATGAACCGCCCTACTGAATTTTCCCTCAGCGCTCGCCCTGTGCATCGTTGTGATCAGCTGCCTGCCGGAAAACTCGGCGGAAAAGTCCAAGCCGTCACTGTTGCCGTCCTTCCTGTTTCCCCTGGGCCATTCTTTGTCAATTAATGCCAACATTCTGCTGGCTTCTATGCTGCTTCCCAGCGTGTGGCTGGGGGTGGTGATCTGGACGTTGTCAGGTAGTGGAAGGGATTTGGGCATGCGGACCACCCGCTGACTTGTGCGTTTTTCAGGCCTGCTGCTCTACTGGAAGTGCGATTGTTGCAAATGCGAGCTCTTGGAGCCTTTGGTAGAACGCGTCACCTCCAAAGTGGACCCCCAGCATGTGCTCTACCAGTACCAGGACAGCTTGGTTGAAAGCATTGTAATAGCCAGCTGACATCCGGAGTGCTTCGACGACGACAGCTTGATCACAGACTCTGATGAGGCCAATTAGGAGTTGGTCAGTCAACTATGGTTAGTTACATAAGTTTGATGTTTACTGCGGCCTGTAGTGGCAGGAAAAAGGGCCTAATTTATGCGTGTACATACATAAGATCTATTTTCGAATTTTATTAGGGCATAGCTGTAAGAAGTAAGAAAGAGCCTCTGAGAGAGTTAATGTTGGTTGATGTGCTCACGACCTGCTCCTATTCCCATTGGCAAATTCCTCGCCGCTATGAAACGGGTAAACCAGTGGCCGATTTGATGAGATTCGCCGACTAAAGTGGGCAACTTTCTCCATCCGAGCGGAGTCTGTTAACCTGTCGCTTTCATTCAGCGCCGATCATGGCGGTAATTTCTTCATTATTATTATCATTATTCGTCCAAGAATCGGCCACTTGACTCGACTTGAAGCACGTGCGGTTTGCCCGAAATTCGACCTTTAGATAAGAGCCAGTTTCGGTGTGTTTCAGGTGAAGAATGTGGTGCCAAAGTGAAATTATCAATATTGAATGTGCGCGGTAAAGTGGAACAACCGTTGACGAACAAGTGAAGAGGAACATGCCTGCACGCTTGAGATCAAACCGCAGGTCAGAGTCGTGTCTTTGAATCGGTGAGTTTATTGCAGCCAACCTCACGTATTTATACAGGACGATTCAATTTTATTTTGCGGCCAAGGTTTTGTTCATTTGAATGTTCTTAGAAGTCACTTTCCCTGGCGTCATTTCCCTCAACAAGTCAGTTTTAAAGCGCGCGGAAGGCAAACGATGCCGTTACTTAAGAAAACGTGAGCTTTTTTGATGTTGTGGCAAAGTGCCTGCGTCGGTTTTATAAACCGCTTGCCGCTAACGTCTTTCTCTGAGGTAAACGCAGTCAGCGCTTTAAAGCGCCATCATTTCCATCTAAAAGTTTCCGTTCTATTGGCGAGTTCAAAAGTCCACACGCCCCCTGGTGGTTGTCTGATATATATGTGGCTGGGCTTAGGCAGCCTAGAATACTTAGAATAATACAGTGGTTACAATTAGAACTACTAGTTAAGCAGTAATTTGACACTAGTTTTGTTGACACCTGATTGTAATTTGTTTGGTTCTAATCAACTTTTGCTAGCTTTTAAAGAAATAGTAACAGATCGAAAAGTGTGCAAGTATTGTTTTATGTTATCAAAGTCATCAACGCCAATAAAATGAACAAATCGGGCAAGTCTCAACTGTCACTCGGCAACGAGTAATTTGACGTTTCGCAGCGCCACCATCGGTAAAAAACTCGCGAATAAAGCGCTTTAGGCAAACGTCGTTTTTTTATTCTCCAAAGGCAAACATTGCGACGCCCGAACAGTTTTTTGCGGTTAAACAAGATCAGCGCCTTAAAGGAACAAACAAACTCTTGTCGTTCACTGTAAGTTGGTTTGTTTGTGCGGTTTAGCGCTTGTTAAGGCGCTTGAAAGCTGCCTTAACAAGCAAGCATGCGGCGAATTCCCAATCACCCACTGCGCGCCAACCTTTGTACATGTTTTTACATAAAGCAACAACGCGGGCCTTCGGCCTCGTCACATCGATGATTTCCATGTACGAGCCATAATTTTACGCGCCCCACAAACAATTGCAATTAATATAACGAGACCTTTAGTTGATGTTCAAGGGCGCGAGCTCGTAACAAACTGTCTTAGATCGTTCGATTGAAACCTTGCCGAGCCATTCGAGAATCTACAGGAGATGGTGATGAAGTATTCGCCACTTTTGAGTTTTGCCCGAAAAAACACCGGCAAATGACAGCTGGGGTGGCAGTTGGTAAGGGCTGGTTCACCATGCATGCGTCCACGCCCTATAATAATTAATTTATCGCTAAAGTCGATTATAGCTAATTAATTAATTAACTAGAAATGTTTTTTTTATAAGAAAATGTTTGGGTTAATTTGGGTTAGTCCTCGTATATGGTTCAGATATAAATATGCAAATCCATCTAAGAACGACTGCAGCTCGGACGCGTATACTAAACAAAGACCTTGCATGCTCCTGTTTAAATTAGCCAAAGGTCGAAGTTGTTGTGACACCATAAACTGAGTTGTGCATTTTGAGATTTTCGGTTTTCCTGCAAAAATCGTAATTTTCCAAACACCTTAACTAGCTCAAATGCTGCTGACCAATCGATTAGCAAGCGGTGGTGTGTTGGGCAACATCAAAGCGCATCGAAGGAAGCGAGCTTAATTATTAGAACGGTTGGAGGATTTAACAGAAGCAACTGCTTATTATAAAAATTAGCCGCGTTGCTATCGCCCGATCTCGAGGTCTCTTTGTTCATTATTACCACTTAATTGTCGACGATTACTTAATTACTTTGCACCTTTACTAATTGGAAGGTGTGAGGTAAACGGGCCTTAACGGTCCACGCCAAAATGGCCGTCGGTTGTCACTTGTCAGGGATGACAGCTCATTTAAGTGCGATAATTGAGGAATTTGCGAAATCCTTTTCTCGAAGCGACGCGAATTAAACGCAGCATCTTACTTGCCATTTGAAATGTTGCTGAAACAGTGTCATTTTGACAGCTGTCATTTTTCACGCCAATCGAGGAATTTGAATCGAATTCGCCTCCCGGATGTTGAAGTTCTTTTGTTTTTCCGCGCAAAAACACTCATCGATTCCGGCTTCGCGAGTAAGCAAGGTCGACTTCCATGCAGCGCCCGTTGCCAGCTCAAGTGAAAGTTCCCCAAGTTTGCCGCTTGTTCGTAGCTAAAGCTGTTCCAACGCAGGCCGTGGTGGTTGCCAGGCACGGCAACGTGGGCTTCTAATCCTGCGGCCTTGACGCCCCTTCCTGCTGCGCGAGCCAACCATGGCCAGCTGAGACTCAACTCAAGAAGCGAATCTCGATTGTTTTTGCTGTTCCTGTCAGCCACGGTACGCTCGATTTCAAACGGGCTTTTATTAGAAATCTCACGAGAACTCATTAAGGCGTTGCTCTGGTCGCGTCGCTTGCGGTTTTACCTCCTAATTGAATTATTTACTGATCGACGTAACGGTTTTGTGTGTTTGCACTAGTTTTCGTTTTTCGTTCATTGGTTCCTGGCGCTCGGCAGGCCGCAGTACAATGCGAGAAGGCGATTTGTTGTGGTAATTTTCGCCGCCCCTCTGCCCTTGGTAAGTTGCTCCAATTAATGTGATTAGCGCCGCCCCTTCAGCGATGACCACCAACACACCAACACCCTCCCTACTCCCGCCCCGAAAAAGGGCCAACAATTCTTGACAGGAGGGCGAAACATTGTCCATCACTGTCAGTCTGACATTTGCGTTGTTGATCAAAAAACAACTCTTTAGTTCCTTGCGAAGTTCCTGCGTTCCTTTCTCTGTTGTCTATGAAATTAGAAAAATTATCGTCGTTTTGTGCAAGGGTGGCGCCAGAATATTGCAAAATTTCATGTTTTCCGTCCCGTTTTGCATGTTTCTCGGAAGCAAAATGAGCAAGAACGCTCGTTTTTACATCATTCCAAAGCGAACTAAATGGCCCTTTTAGAAAGTGAACCATCGATCAGGAAATGTTGGAGATGGGGATGTTGAAAATGGGGAGATTGAGGAATATGAGTGGTAAATTGCAAGAACTGAAACCGATCATTAAAGGTAAACTTTCAATTGGCTTGAAATTGCCATTGTTTAAGTAATTGGAATTCATCCTGTGGCAATGCGGGCTCTAATCGTTAATGCGAAGCTGGGGCCCCATTTAATGGTGTGTTTTTGCGAAACAATGCGCACATGATTGGCACTTGAATAGCGGCAGGATTTGCTAAACTTGACGCCCTCCGCGAATGGATCCAGCACTCGCTCTGATCTAGTTCAGCAGCAGATTGGGTCACATCAGAAGCGATTTTATGATCGTAATTGCACCGTTAGGCAACGAATTAGCCGACATAAATTAAGCGCCTTTGCATAACATCGGCTGATAGCGATTACGATGCTTTCCATAATATAAGATTGAATTTAAAGTAAGCGAAAGCACAAAAAAGCACGCGCTGGAAATGAAACAGAGCATTTCAAATGTATACAGTTTTGATTTACTGTTTGTATGCGACTCGAATCTGAATCTACAGGGTGTCCCATGAAAGTTTCACTTTCCCTGGCGTCATTTTCGATTTTTTTTATTATTAAAGGGCTCTAAAAGTTTTATAACGCACTGAAGGCAAACGAGCGCGTATCTCTTTTAGCTCAGAAAACATAGTCATTTGCCTTTTTAACCTATAAAAGAGCGGAAAATGGGACACCCTGTACATGAGCAAATCTTATATGGGACTTTTCTCAGCCAAATGGTTCCAAAAGGAAACTGTTCGCGCCGGCTTTCTAATCTAAACGCGTTGGTTCTACTGCAATTTCCTGGTTCATGCAACTGTAGATCGTTACCAAATGCTAGATCGTCCAAGTTGGGGCCCTGCGAAGCACACACGGCAAATAAAGAGCGCCATCGAGGCCGTTAAAGCGCCTCCGCAAGTCCTACTCTTGACCATAACCTTCGGGGGCGCCCCTCGGGCAAAAATCGCTACAGTTACTGCCATTAATCCGCATATATTACAGGTTGGGCGTGTCATTGCTAATAGGAACTTTGACTGGTTGCGGTAACAGTATGGAATTTCCGCTTGCCTTCAAGGTGGTCCTAATGGATAGATTTTCACACTTTGCCCACACTATCACATACCTGAGTTTTAATTGTTTGCAATATTGTCGGTTTCAGCGGACCGGTCGAGGCCATGAAGGGCTGGTTCGACGCGTTTCGCTTCGATGGAGGACCCACCCTGTACAACTTCAGCAATCGCACCGCCGTCACCGGAGATGTGACTGTGATCACTTTTCTGGTCATTTTTGCCACTCTCTATGTGGCCTTTTTGATCATTTTTCCCGGCATACGCAAGGAGGTGAGTGACGAATATGAAGAGGCTTAATTTGCCCGATGTTCCCCTAAGTTTTGGGGTTGCCATGGGCACTGACACAAACAAAGAAATCCCGTGATCATCGTCAATGGCGTTCACCCCCACTCCCACAGGGGAACCTCGGGTAAAATCTGTCGAAAAATTTAGTAATAAAAAAAAGAATAATATCGAATATCGCAAACAATTTTGATTCGCTAATGAACCACCGCAACAAATTAAGACATGCACATAGATTTAATCGGCGCCCAGAATCTCGATTCTTATTTAGATAAGCTTAATTGATCGTTTGTTGTGCGCTTTTATTGTTGTTAAGGCCGGCGGGCCGAGTTAGCATAATCAAAGGAATTGTTTTTGCAGAGATTTACAACTTTTTGCGCCGTGACGCTTTCGCTGCTGGTGGGCGCCACTATTCTGGTTTCGCTCTTTGGATCCTGCTGGCATATATCGGAGACGCCCATTGTGAGCAACTATCGCGCCTTCTCCAATGAGAAAATCTCCGCCCATCTGGGGGCCTACATCGGCCTGAAGCACATTAATATCACCCTTCAAGGTACTAACTTTAAGGCCCACTTCAGCTAGGTTCCTTGGCTTTTAAAGCAGCCCTCACACGAATTAAATTTTCGCGCTATTTGCAGCCGTTTCCAGCAACAGTTCGCTGGACATCGACTACAACGAACGCTTCAACTGGATCGACTCCAGCCAGATGGGGGAGAGTTTCAAAAAGGCGCTGATCCGCGGCCTGCCGTTCCCGATTCTGACGGTGGCCGAGCATTTTACGGTCGGCCAGGACGGCTTGGCCTGGGGCGGCCAGTATCGCGCCGCCGGCTACTTTGCCATCATCATGCTGTGGTGAGCTGGCGAAAGGTTTGAGGTTGGACCGTCTCAAGCGCGCACGTTTGCAGGACTTCGTTTGCCACCTGGCTGCTGATGAACCTCATGCTCATTGTGGTGCCCCGCTACGGCGCCTTGCTGATGACGGCCTGCGGCTTCCTGCTGCTGGCTACCATTTGCGGATACTTCGGAATGCTGCCCGAGACTCCTCTAGTCATTCACATCGAGGGCACTGCCTTGCACTTTCGCTTCGGATGGTGCTTTTGGCTGGTGCTGATCTGCGGTACGTCCCGGCAATCTTCCCTGGAGGTGCGCTCAAAATCCCCATTTTCCAGGTGCGGTCTGTCTAACAGTCGGCGTGATCATCACCACGGTGGAAATAGTGAATCCGCACAGTTTCTCGACGATCCTGGAAGTCGATTATGACACGCCATATGATCGTCACGTAATTATCGAGGACAGTCGAGGGAGAAAGTTTCAGAAGAGGAAAACGAGCAGGCTTGAGGAACCAGCGAGCATCGGCCACATGATTCTAAAGTGAGTTTGGGCTGCGCCCCAGCTGAAGCCCCTGTTCGACTAACGGCGGATTCTTTGCAGAAGACTGTCGTCGAAGCAGAAGGAGGACAAGCCAGAGTCCTCCACAGGCAGCGGCAGCGTCATGCCGAAGTCCAATTTTCATCTGTCTCCGGCCTCTTGGCGGTTTTCCACGCGCGACGATGGCTCTGATGGGGCATCGGCCATTTCGACATTTTCTTTCGAGGAGCCCCCACAGGACGACTCCTTCCGGTTAGTATCAACTCGAATTTAACGAACTTCTGGGCAGCGGCTGGCTGTTGCAGGCACCCCATCCGTCACCACACGAACCAACCCCCCATGTGGTAAAGCGGCTCAACAATCAGTGCAATCTATTCTACTTTATCTCATATAAGTGATCCAGTATGTGATATATCTAGTACATAAGCCTATCAGCGAATATTGGCCATATTTATGAACGTAGTTTTACAAATGTGTGTACAAAAGAGTGTACAGTATTTATTAAATTTATCGAAATGAAACAGAGAAAACCGCCCGCTCCTCCAAGACCAGAAAAACTCCCGATTCCATACCATTATTTATTAATTTCAGCAAGACCAGTTCAAAAATTTAAGGGATTTTTGCTGTGCTTACTCGTACAAAATTATTTATTCTGGCTTTTTAGGCTTTTGCTTCTTGGCAGGCTGGGGCCGTTGCGACCGCAGGACTGCGCTGGCCCTCCTAAGGGCAGCCTAAAACCACGAAACCTTCAAAACACTCGCCATTCCACTGGCAAATCCCTACCTTGGTCAAGTCCGTCCTGTACTTGTTGGCCTGCATGAAGTTCTTCAGCTTGTACAGCGAGCGCCTGGGCTTCGACTTGAACGTCCTTTTCACCAAATTCTGCCTGGGCTTATTCTACAACCAAATTAACAATTCAGGATAAGCGTGGTGTTCCAGACCAAACCTGGTAAGTGCCTACCTGCTTCTTGGCCTTTTTGTACGTCAGCGTGAAGCCCTTTCTGTCGGGACCATCAGCAATGGCCAACGTCTTCTTGTGGACCAGCCCATTGTACCTGTACGAGTTCAGGTTGGTTAAGTTGTTGGGCTCCTGAAAGCAAACCGTGACTAAAGCGGGCTCTGCAGCCTTGTGCCTCTGTGACTTACAGTACTGAAAGGCTTGGAAATATTGCGCTTCTTCACCAAGAAGGCGTTGTTGTTGCGGATGATGCTCCAAACCAAGTGTGAGGACATGTTGAAGGTCTGAAAAGCGAAACTGTTGGTTAGAACAGGTTGGGACCCGGCAATCGTCGCTTATGTATTTCAAGGGCGAAGCCCTGTAGTTGTGGATTTGTGGGCATTGTTTTCGCTGGTAAATTAACGAAACACGTGTAGGGAAAGCTGTTGCTCCTCAACGTCTTTGGTAGATGCTGGCAGTGCCCGAACAGGAAATAGTCAGTGCATGAGGGGATTTCAGGAAAAAGGCGCATTTTAAGGAGCAGTTTTAACAAAAAATCTCTAAAGTTCTTACCTTTACGCGGCGTGCACGAACAGGAAAAGATGGTTCCAATGACAAGTGACAATTGGCTCAAGCATTGACATGTGCCTCATTCACTACCCAAAGGGGAATCAAAGATTTCCGGCAAAATCTGTGAGTGCGGAAGAGACAACTAGCTGACGGTTCGCATGCAGACTGGTGCACTAGAGACGCCTAGTGGAAATCGAAAACGAAAAGTTTTGACTCTCAACCCATAGAGTAAGTAAATTTACAGGACTTTTTAGATAATGAAACTAACGATGATTTTATACCATTGCAAATTTTGGAGGAAAATGAACTTAATAAATTAGAAATAACTGGCATGGCCATAGAATTCGACGAAGGCGACAAAAACACCTCCGCATATGTAGCTGGTTTTTTAATCAAGAAGCTACAGTCAAAAATTACTTGTTATGAGTGCTTAGAAAACCTAATTTCTGAAAATGTTGAGTCACATCATACCTTTACAATGTTCAAAGAATATACAAATGATAAAAAAAGGTTAGTTTATGTCACTAAAGAACTAACATATATTTTAATGAGACTATATGACATTATCATGCATATATTACCAAGGTTCGGACATATTACCCATTTAACAAAAAAAATTAAAATCTTTATCAAAGATAAAATTCCTTTTGAGTGGTTCACATGCAAAGAACATTTAGAAGAGGTCTTAAATTATATTTTAAATGTATCTATCGATTTAATAATTAAAAAATTTTGCGACGATTTGCACCGATCCCTTAGCATCACCAAGAGAAGTAAATACGACCAGAACAAATTAAAAAAATTTAACCACTTATAGGAACTTTTATTTAATTTTTTTTTCTGAGCCTGTTGGTCAATTCTAGAAAAAAACTTCTTTTAATATATTGAATGATTCCGTTTTTTGACCCCAGGCTTTTTTTCCCATTTCCTCGCTTTGTTTCCAATGATGAATCTAGGCGCCCGATCAATGGTTTTTATTACTCTGAGGTATGGTACATTACTCTGAGGTAACAAAGCTTCCCATTTTTGAACAAAGAACTGAAACATTAAATCTTCAAAACCCAGACTGAAGTTATTTTCATAAAGAAGGGAGGGCAGGTGGATTCCCACTTGTTTTTCCCCTTCAGGACTTTTCTTCTAAAAAAACGGCTTAGAATTAGGGTTTTCCCTGGCCAAATTTGTTGTTATTTAATAGTTCAGCGTGGAACAGAATCTTCCAGCACATAAGGAGAAGACTTCTGGTGGGGACTTCTACTCCGATAGGGCACAAGTTTAGCTACCCAGTTCTTCCTTTTGGGACTCTTTGGAAGACTATTTGTATTTTTTACTTAACAAATGTTTACTTACTCAATAAATGTTATTTTATTTTGATTTTAGTACCTATATATTATTTCATTCCCTTTCATGGATCCCCTTAAAGCAATTTATTTAATATTAACATATCTAACCACATCTGGATCAAAAATTGCTTTCAGAGTGTTACAATTTCGATGTCCTTACACATTGCAGTCTCGGTTCATTATTAATGGAAATAGGAATTTGTGAGCACCCTGTTGAGTAAACAGCTCATTTTCTATTGCCATTAATAACCGAGAGAACATGTGTAGACACCGAAATTTGGGTACCCGGAGTATTTTGTACCTTTAAAAATTTAAAACTCCCGCTTCTAACCAGCCGATAATGTAGATACCTGTTTTTATCGTCAAAGCTTCCCGTTATTGACGGTCAGCCAGTTGTAGCGCAACGCGGTTCCAACTTTTAGCATTATACCGCCACCTCTCTTATTTTACTTTCTCTATGTCTCAACCGTTAATTAAGCAGCAGCTGATGTTGACAACGTGGAAGTGACTGGTGAATGTGAACTTTTGGACAACAAACGGAAAAACATGAATCTGTGAATTAAACCGACCAAACTTATAGAAAGCGACTGACCAGCAACAGGATATAGAGCAGCAATGGCGGTAAGCTGGACATTTGGGAACGAGCTGGCAGTGCGAAAGTGTGCCATTTCAGCCTCCGCAGAAGGGCAAGCAGGCCACCAAAGGGGCCAAGCAGATCCTAGAGGAAAACCTGGCCACTTTGAGCTTCTACCGAAACATGGCGATGATATCCAACGCACTGTCGCTGGCAATTTTGGTGTTTTACAGCTCAACGATTAGCATAGTGAGTGCAAGGTTCTGAAGCAATTGCTCGTCATTAACTGGGGCTGAAATTCCAGCTGCTGTACCTGTTCTCCATTGCTGTTTATGTGGGCTCGTACCAGTTCATGGCCTACATGGCGAAGCCCAAATACACAGAAAGCGGGCAACTGCTGGACAGCGGAACTGACTTGAACATGGAGGGCGGCATAGCTGAGTGAGTTGCTGGGCTTGAAAAGTGATTTGAACTAAGCCTGGTTTTCCTGCAGGAATGTGAAGGATGTGATCATTCTCACAGCCGGCTGTCAAGTGTTGGCGTCGTGTATATCCAACTACTTCTGGCTGCTGTGGCTGCTGGCGCCCGCACGTCTGGGCTGGATCGCCTGGAAAAACCTGTTAGCGCCCTATTTCTTCCCAGACGCGCCGCCGGAAAGTGCCCAAGTGGACGATAAGAAACAGAAGAAAATGGAACGGAAGCAAAAGCGAATGGCCAATATGCGATGAAGCGCCCAGTTAAATAAACTTCCCCATTTGTTACCTCATTAAAAAACAGTTTTCCAGAACGTTTGTTGGGTTGTCAGTTTCCGGTCTTGTCAACTATTCGCGTGCGCTGGCAGCATCGCAATCTTCTCACCATAATAAGCCTTGTTCTATGATACAGAACAAGCTTTCTTCCTCCAGATCTGAAGATTGCCAATTAAACATTAGCATTTTTTTGGTGTTTTTAGTAGAAATAACAGGAAATAATATCGCAGTGCTGGTGCATACGAGGCTATCGACAATTCGCTGATTGTTGAGGTTAGTGTGCACTTTTGACAAGTGTGAGTTTGCTGGATGGGCCCCCTGGACAATTAGCAGCAACGGCTCTTGACATCGGGACAGCACAGGGGGCTCTCGATCACGGACTTGTAAGGTAAAAATGAGATTTCTTTGACGACATGCCAGGATATGGACGATTTCAGGCCCAACAATGGACAACTACGTGCAGATCAAAGACATGCGACCGGGACTGAAGAACATCAACGCGGTGTTCATAGTGCTCGAAGTGGGGCCCATGACTCTGACGAAAGAAAACCGCGAAGTGCGGACTGTGAAAGTGGCGGACGCGTCAGCGTGCATCAACACCAGCGTTTGGGACGAAACGGGCCAACTGCTCAACCCTGGAGACATCGTGCGGCTGACCAAGGGCTACCTGAACATCTGGCGCAACTGTCTCACCCTCTACACGGCCAAGGGTGGCGAGATGCAGAAAATCGGCGAGTTTTGCATGGTGTTCAATGAGCAGCACAACGTCTCCGAACCGAACTTGTTCGCACAAGTGGTCGGGGGGCCCGCCCAGAACAATTTGGCGCTGAACAACGGCACGAACAATGGTGCCGGCCGGGTGGGGCCCTCCACCGCTCAAGGCGGCGCAGTTACCACAACCAGTGCCCCGATTCCGCTGAACAATGTGCTGGGGGCTGGCAAGCCTGCTGCAAACAGCACCAACAATGTGGCCAGGGCTTCGGGTAGTGCGGGCGCCCCTTCCTCTAATGCCAACGATGCCAAGAGGCAAAGGGGCTCGAGAGGCGGCCAGCATCGGAATAGGCATACGCGGACATAAGAGTGTGTGTTTTTCGCAGTGATGCTCTTTAGAATTATGTGTTAACAGGGGAAACGCCCTAATGAACGCTCTGTGTAAAAACTTTCCTAATTAATCGCCCTGGATAGAATGGGGGAATCCGAATTATTCTCAGCTGGAGGCAGGTTTTATCGGTTTCTTGCCCATTTACGTGGTCGTATGTTATGTGTGTAGTTAAGCGGACTATTACTGATGGTGATGGTGCGCAATTAACTCTAATGGACTTGATAGTTTTCCAGTCAATTATGTGATTATGACCATCGGTGGTAACAGATCCGGAACGGGTAGATGTTGCCCCTTGATACCGCCCTATATCGAATGACCTTTGCGAATTCGTTAATTGTTTCCGGCTAAAAATAGTCGCGTTTCCAGTTTAGCGAAGATCGATATTGCGCTCTTTTAATAGATCCGACTAGTTAAAGTGGCCGTGCCCAGCAGAGGCCTGTTATGTTTTCGTCGACGTCGTCGCCGAGATGAAAAGCTCAAGTTTGACCTCGTCGTTACCAGATTTAGAACGTGAAGCGCGACGAACGCCGTCGAAAGCCCATTAGTTCGAATACGCTCGCCACAGTGCGACGATTGATCGTTAGTGCGGTTCCATCTGGCAACTGGGAAAACAACATCGAAGTTCTGTGGGCAAAATGAGCAAAGGACGCGACGTGCCTCCCCCTTATGGCCCTCCGCCTGCGGCGCCTCCTAGTTATGCCCAAGCAGTTGGAGGCGTCCCTCCAACAGCCCCCTACATTCCAACCTACCACTGTGAGTATTTGTTTTTCTATTATATTCTTAATTGGGCAGTTGCCAGTCCTAGACGCACCCCACCTTCACATTAGCTCCATCCCAGCGGACCATCTGGGCGCTTTGCCTTAGGTGCTTGCTGCAACTATGATTCGCTACTAGCGCAAAACTTTCATCTAATCAAGTGAAAGTGGCCGCAGGCTGTTCTAATGGCGTTTTTCCTATTGTTTACAGTGCGGAAAGATCCGGAGATTCTCACCACCATCGTACCAGTGGTGGGGCCCAACCCGACCCACATGGTGTGTCCTCATTGCAGCGCCGAAATCGACACCAGCACGAAATCGAAACCGGGAATTAAGGCCTACATTGCCAGCGCAGTCCTCTGCATCATAGGGTAAGTGTTTGGACTGTTTCAAAGTGCAAAAACGATCGTGGCACGATTCCGCAATTAGCGATGAACTAATCATGCAGAGGTCATTTCATATGTTGACCAACCGATTTGCCACAACTGTTCGGACGTTTGCAATGAATTATTCATGGGTTGCGAACTCGTTAAGGCCTGTTGTGCGCGGGCGACTTTTTCCCATTAGACCATCGCGGAATTGGCCAATTTTCCGTCACGGCCTCAGTTTAGCAGTGGGATGCGGCTCACCGTCGAAAATTTCCTGCCAATTGCTTCAGATCGTTGTTTTCACCGGATTATTGACTTTAACTCGCGTATGAATCACTTGTAAACAAACTTATGCCATGTTTTATGCGTGACAGTGACGTTATGCCCATTGAGAAGTTTTCAACACTCCCTTGCTCCAATAAGCGCTTAATTAACTTTTTGCATAACATTAAGCGCAAATGAGACGGAATGCTAATTTGGCTGGGTTTTTTGGTTTCCACTGTTGGCTACATTTGATTAGTTCGGGGTTGCCGGGGTGTCAATTCAAAATTCGGTGTCACTGTCACTAGTTGCACATTTAGTTTCAATTTCAATTATTGTTATTGAATTATTCAACAATTGAATTTCAAACCGACACATTTACCATCAGTTTGCGTTCTGTTCATTAAGCAGCGACCGGATTTCGTTTGCATTGTTGGAAAGTAGAGGTAGAGGCAGAACTAGCAGAGTTTAGCAATGCAAATGACCCCATTCAAAAGCCCACCCTTTAAGACGATTGCAAGCTTTTAATGGGCCATTTGCACGCCAAACTCAACTAAAAGGCATTTTTTGACTGGAACTAAATCGGAGTTTTTTTTCAGATGTTTTTGTGGCTGCTGCCTGATTCCCTGCTGCATGGAACAGTGCATGGACGTGACGCACAATTGCCCCAACTGCGACACTTATTTGGGCACCTACAAGAAGTAATTTGGTGACCGTTTGAATTAGTTAGCGCGGAATAGGAACTCATTTTGGACCATTCTTCATGTAAAACATGTGCGCATTTCAAGGCAATTTTTCTGTATATAGTGATTTGTTAATGTAGGGCGCGGATCTTAAGTGCATTGACTCGATTGCCACGTACGACTTAGAATTGCCCGCCACCAGAGCACTGAGGTGCTGCAATGGAGCGGTGTCAAGAGACATTTTCTACTAATTTCGGCCGTTAATTCCAAAATAGACCCCACTTAGACCGAATAAATTCTGTACTGTATTCTGAAACATACTGTAGCATGTTTTCTGTATTCTAGAGCTTTCCTGGCGGTCCCCAGTCCACTCCAGTCCAGTCTCCTGCTCCTACTTAGTATTTCGCCATAAATCCTCCGGCACTGGCTTGCCGTGACTGCGAATTAATTGGAAAAGGCGCCCATTCACTACGGAAATATGCAAAAGTAAAAATAGACCTCTGATGAAATCCTTCCCGTACGCACGGACGTTGCAAAGCGATGTAAATCAACGTTTTGCCCGCACTAATGCACGAAACACATGGCCGTAACAGAGAGAGGTACACTATTATCTATTAATCGGTTAATGGGCATAATTTTCAGAATTATCGCCCATCAGTTGCGATTTGATTTGAAAAGATCTAAGAAACCCATTACGAGTTTTCCGGTTATTAGCGCGCGCGAATTAGCCGCCCTCTTACTCTAGGAAAAAGCGAAAACATCGCACATCGAAACAAGGTTTAATTTATTATATACAACAAAGAAGAAGAAAAAGGGGGAAAAATTAAGCTATCACATTTGAATGCCAAAATCCGCAAATCGTGAACCTTACTTGTTAAGTAAATGTACAGACTATTTATAAGTATGTATAAATTACAAAGAAACTGCAGTCTCAGCAGACAAACATGTTGCCCGGGGTGCCGTTGAAGCCGCCGCCCCCGCAACCGGGCGGCGGTTGGTCGTCGTCCTTCCTGTGCCGSCCGCCGTCGCGGTTCAGCGGCGGCCGTGGCAGCCGCTCGCTTTCCGAATGGTCTTTGGAAACAACCAGCCGTAGACGGTTCGAAAGCCCTTCGCAGGGCAGATTTTCCGGTTCGGCCAGATCTTCACGCGCATAAAACAAAATGTAGGGCGTCTCGGGCGGCTTCAGCATGTGCAAACTGTCCTCCGACGATTTACTCACTGCGCTATCATTGAACTTGAACCAACCGGCCGTGTCTTTGGCAAACGTGTAGTAATGCCCCGAGTCCACGCTCGATCCGTAGTGAACGACGGCCGCGTACAGGTCGAAGAATGTGCCCTCCAAGCAGATTCGGTTGTCCAAGTTGACTCTTTGCAGGAGTTTGGTGCGGGTTTGCGAAGTGTGGTCGTACCGGAAGTGCTTCAAAGTGAGCACCAAATGCGTTGGGGATGCGATGATTTTGGTTATCCGTTCGCCGTCTGCGAGATTTACCCAGTTTTATCAACGCGGGTCAAGGTGGTTTGAGGCCTACTTACCAGTCAACCTGTCGCAAACATCGCACCGATACTGGTTGTCCCCGCACAGTTTCTCGGACTGCAGGAAGTAGTCCAGCAGATTCTGAACGCTCTGGTTGTCGGCGTCCTGCGGGAAGGACAGCTGCAACTCCCGGAAATCATCCTCCCGCTCGCTCTTGGTGCCGCACTCGCTGCAATGCGACACCGTCACCGTCTGCCCGCCAAACGACTGTTGCACCACAGTGGCGGGCGTCTCCTGGGCGGCGCCCTCCAACACCATCCCATTCTTCTCCTGTTCGTGCAGCGAGTCCAACAGATAGCCCAGAAACTCGGAGCTGTCGTGCTGATGGCCCATCACAAACCCCGGCGGCCTCAACAAGGTGAGAATCTCATTGGGAGACAGGCAGGCCTTCTTGGAGTGCTGCAGCAACGCAAACAGCACCTGCAGCTTGAAAAAGAGCGGCGGAAGCAGAATGCTCTGATGCGAGAGCACGCTGTTGCGAAAACTCCTAGTCATGTAGAGCGCTTGGAGCACGCTGTTCATGTAACAAGTGTTGCCCAAATTGTAGAGCCCCACTTTCTCAACGGAGCTGCGCAATGGCAGCGCCACTGACCCGTTGTAGGACCAACTCTGGCAACCCAACGGCTTCTTGTAGCTGGCGCCGCTGCAAAACGGATGCAAGGCCTGTCGGAGCGGCTCGTACAGCTCGTCGTAACCGGAAAAATGGTCCATCAGCGCCGAAAACGCCGAGATCAATGGAAACAGGTACTGCTTGCTAGATTCGTCTTTGGCCAGGATGGAAATCACCGTGGGAGCGTGAGGGATGACTTTGTGGAACGCTTCCGGGCTTTTCTGCATGCGGATCAGCATGTGATGGACGACTGGGAAGACGCTTCGTCTGCTCCCGATGATGCAGATCAGCTTGAACAGCGGCTCGATGGTGTTCAGGGTGACTTCAACCAGGATGTCATAGAACTGTTCCTGTTCTAGACCTTTCATAAAAGCCAGCACAAGGGGGCCGAGGTTTTCCGTAGAGGTCCACTTGGACAGCCATGTGCAGAGCGTGTGAAGCGCCCGCTCTAGATTCTGGTCTGGGTATCCCGATTCGAGGATGAACTTGACCGCAGCTGAAACTCACTGGCATCAGCTAAATTCCCGTTAATTGACCAGGACCTACCAGGTAAAAACTCCACGTTGATAAGCTGCAGCACAATCGACATCACCGGACTGGGGGTTTTGCATGGATTGGAAATCTCGTCGTAGAGCGACTTCAGTGTGACGAAAATCACCGTCTCCTTTTCGTTGGACTTGACCAAGATGTCCTGGACGCGTTTGATGTCGTGGATGAACTTCATGTAAGCGATCGGATCGTTTGGCACCGCTACAGTACCTGCAGATTTTCACCATTGACCCCCAGTTGAAGCAGCCAGTCGGCTTCAACGCCCTACTCACCCAGACCCATGACGATTTGGCTGTAGACGTTCGTCTGAGTGCCTTCTTCCGCCTGGATGTTCTGCAGCACTCGGAGAATGATCTCCAGCCTTTGCTCCGGACTCGGCGCGATGGGGCCCACCACATTCTTTTGCTTCACTGCCATATTTCTGATTGTTTCAGAAAAAAGTGCTTCAGTTGAATAAAGTTCACTGTTTTCCATTTTAGGGACTCACCACAATGAAGCGTGGGCCTTCACGAATCGTTGCGGTTGACAATGCTGTTTCTTTTAGCTGAAACATGCAAAAACACGCCATTAGAAGCTGGAAGCGAGAATAACAGGGTTTTTTTCGCGGCGGTTGTCACTTCTAAGCGGCCCCTTTTGAAGCAAGAGCGCATTTTCGAGGGTTCTGCTGGGTCGTTTTTTTGCGCGATTGCAAAGCCGTTTTTAACTGCTTTTTATATTGTCGAAATCGCACTTAAATTTGAGTGTGTTGTGATGAAACTAGGGCCAAGTTCACTGGATATTTTACGACAACTGGACAACAATTGAAAATAAATACGGGCTTCAAACACTGCAGCAAAGGTGGAGATTTATATCGTTTGGCGATTGTTCCAGATGTGTTACGTGGGAAATGAATGAAGTCGGCCGACACTTCGCGGAATGCCTGGAGCCCCATTGAACGTGCTTGGCGGCCACAAGGTAGGGTTTTCTAATAATTTCAAATACTACTTTGCAAATTTACATTTACACTAAACACGCGTGTGTTTATCACTTGTCATCAAATGTGTTTAAATCAAAATCATCAAATGTGTTTAATCACTTGCTGGAAAAGCACCAAGGGCAAGCAAATTCAAAAAGCTTCAGCTAATGAGTAGGGACACGCCTAGACAATGGTTATGAAAGCATAGGACTTATTTTAACGCAAAGCTAGGGCCCCAAGTTCACCATAGTTAGTTAGCAGGTCAATCGTAAGATATTTTGGCAGGTCTCGCCATTGCCATCTAGTTATGAAAAATGCGATCGAATCGGGGCTTTGTTCACATGCTAAAAATAGTCGAATGGGGCGAGAGCCATGCAGTGGTGCTTTTAGCAATAAATTATAAATATTTTGGAGCTGCTTACCTGCCTATAACCTTTTACGTCAGACCAATGTCATCGTAGAACTGTTCTTCAAACAGCCAATCGTGTTCACAGTCCGACGCCGATTCAGTCAGCACATTGCTGAGGTTCACTTTAATTTCACTAACTCGACTTTGGCGGAATTCACTCAATGGAATGCTGGAAAACTGGATGATTTTCGTACAAAAAGGACAACTTTTTGAGGACAGCTGTCAAATCGACAGTTTAGTTGTCAATTGCGCTTCTGTCAACAGCACCAGTAGGATCATGTGGCAACGCGGCAAATTAACCGACGAGGGGTTTCGGGGTATCACATTTATTTCTCCAAAAGTTTAAGTACAGAAGGTAGAAAAAATCGTTGTTTGTACACAGTTTGGCGTTCTTTTTTTGTTGAGGTGCTTACGGGTAACATAGACTATTAACAGTAATGTACATTGTTCAAAAATCGCTATAAAATAAGGGGGCGAATTGCTTTTAAGCACCGCGGGCTCAGGTTAGTTAAAAAAGCTCGAATGACTACAACATTTTACAAACATCAAACATTCAACAGCTGGTTCACCTCGAGCTTCGTAAACTGGCTAAGAGCAAATCGCCAGATTGCAGTTTTTATACAAATATTGACACGAGAATAATGTAAAATATCACCACTCGAACTGGTCATATCACAAAGCCGTCTCCAGCACCGGGTCTCATACGTTCACCGTTCCGCCCCCATCCGGGCCTGAGTCGATAAGGGGGGCCGTGTCGGCCCCCTTAGTGGGGCTCAGCTTGCTCTCACTCCAAGCCGGCGGGGCCACCATACTCATTTCCGAACTGTCTCCAAACTTGACGGATTTTCTGGGCCCCCTATTGCCTAGCGAAGGGGGCCCGTCCAGAATGTTCGGCCCGAAACTGGTGGGCGAATGTGTGGGCGTCGCCTTTTCCAAGTACATGAGCGGCTTTCGGTTGTGTGAGCTCAAGTAGCTGGTGGCTGTCGGCTGCGTTGTGCTGTACTGGATGTTTGGAACCTACAAAACAGGCCTTATTATGCGTCGGATGTCTCGGTTGGAAAGTTTTCAGACGCCTCCGGTTCTGCTGGATATTCCTCGCATGTCCAGACAGGGAAAGTTTCCCCATTAGAATGCGATTTTCTCACTTACTCTCATGATTTCGTCGTCTATCGCGCGGCCTCTTCCCTCTCTGTACTCCTGATACTGGGATATCACGCAAAGGAGCGAATACAGCTGAAAAGCCGCCGATTTATTGGGAGGGAAAGAAACTTGAAAAGATTCAGCAGATGGAATGAATACTCACGTTCAGGGTGTTGAGAAAAAAGTCAGTGGTCACTAGGATGGCCACCGAAGGGTTCCACTGCAGCTGTAACAGTTTTCAGCTATAAATTCTACAAGCAAAAAGCAAATAATGCGAACCGCATGCACGATGAGGCCGTATATGATGTAGATAACGTCGACGATGGTGAAAAAGGCCATGTTGAAGATCCAGGGAATCAGCAGGAATTTTATGTCCTGGAAATGTGTGATTTGCTGGTTTGTTCCTCGTTTTGAAAACGTGATCTTACTTTGATAATCCCAATGAACAGCAGAAGCGTCGTGATTATGCCGCAGGAGGAAAAGGCGAAAATTAGCGCCGAAAATACGGCGGACGCTGAAAAGAAGATAGAATTTGCTTAATTGATGGTCGTTATTTTATGCAAAATACATCGTTAGTGGAGCCTTAAAAAAATAAAACCGAAGACTTTTCAAATCGAGTTCAATTGAGGTTATTCTCGGGCAACCGTCAAGTACAATTCGCGAACCAAGCTCAGACACCTCTTAGTCTTTCCACACTAGATTTGTCATGGATGGCGATATGTCGGAGTTGACGTCAACTCGTCAAATTAGTCAATTGTTTTCCAGTGCGTGGACGGCGGGTTGTGCAATTCGCTCCACAACAAATACGTAAATTTGCTGGTTTTTTCCATTTCCCTGTGGAAAGCTGTTGCGGTTTCCTTAAATTAAGTGTCCGGCTATTGTTTGGTCACATTTCCCCGACCGTTCAAGCGCTATTTTGGAAGGAAATGCAAATTCTCGGATAAAGTGTTTTTGACGTCCTAACGTCAGCTTAACGGCGGCCATAGTGGCGAGCGCAACTTGGCAACCACGCTTGTTCAACTGTGAGTGCAATTTTGGCGGTTTGTGAAGTTTGCGCTGATTTTTGCAAAGACCCCTCAGAACTCGGACAAATTTTGGCGAAACAGAGCAAGAATATTGGTGAGTTACATTCTTTAAACCGCAACAAATGGGTGATTTTCTGCACTTGCCAGCAAAACTTCAAAGCATTTAGTCACGAAACAGTGTTTTATTATTATTTTTTATTTCATGTTTTCCGTCCCGTTTTTGCTCATTTCTCGGATGCAAAATGGGCAAGAATGGAATGGATCCGCCCTTGTATGCAAACCAACTTTCCCAATGCCCCATTTTTAACTAGTGAAAAAACGTGAAATTTCGGACGCAGCACTTGCAAGCGCAATAAACCGCATCTATTCCCTGTGTAACAAAAAGCTACTCTTATGGCACAGTGCTGGACGTAATTAATGACCCCAGCTGCGGAACGTTAAAACTGTGAAAGCAATTAATAGCTGCCTTCCGTAAAGGAATAGTTTTCTTCACATGCAGCGCCCCGAGATACCACTGTATAATTTTTCACAATTTTCTTTATTTTTCTTGTGCTGTTCAACAGCTCTTAAATCGCCGGTCAAACGTGATAAATAAGTGAGCCTCGCCCCAGTGGTCACGAACCTTCATCGCCTTTCACCATAAATTACCCGCAAAGAATGCGGACGCCCTTTGGAAAGGGCAGTGCCGCGAAAACTGAATGCTTGTTACAATAGCAAAATCGACTGAAAAGGTCAGGGGCGAACAGATTGATTCGACGCTGATTAACAATTAATAGCCGGGCGTCGTTCACTGGACGAAAGTCTAAATTGGGAATTTCTCGGCTGGATGGTTTTTGCGCTTTTAAATCGATATCTGTATGAAATCGGGTCGTTTGGTGATTAATTTGCCACCACAGTTACGAGTTTTCCCCCCTAATTCATCATAGCCTAGTGGCCGGCCTTTTCCAGCAAATTGAGTTCTAAAGTTCCTCTGCAAACAAACAATACTTGAACTCTTGACCGATCCATTAACGGCGCCCTATTCACAGCTGGACAATGCGCAATTAGATGTCTTGTTAGAGGCGCTCGAACCCCAATTATCAATGGATTCAAATCGGTTGCAAGTGAACTTGGTCCCTTCACTTACTCTCGCTGGTAATGTCGTGATCGATCAGCGACTGATTGGACGCGTTCTTCAAAAAGCTGACTTCTTCATGAAGAAGAAAGGACGATTGGGCTGCGTTCAGTGTATAGTAAATCTGGAACAACGGTAAAGTATAAGGAGTAGAAATACTAGCCACCATAAAGAGCTTTGTCGCTATGCATCGGATATCCAGAGAAATTTTTCCGACGGCGTCAATTTACGCGTATCTTTCGCCTCAAAGGGTGCAAAACGAGTGTGACGCTTGCAATAAAGCGCCTACATCGGGTATAAAGATATAGAAAGAAATGAAGTAATCGCAACTGTTTTTTTATGTTTATTCTAATTTTGGTTGAACGGCAAACCCAGTCAGTTATCAAATATTCAAAGTGATTTATGGCCGTCGGGGTGAAAGGCCCTTTATTTTTCTTTATCTCTCAAGCGCGACAGGGATGAATTTAAACTAGGCAATACATCAGCCAAGGAAAAATGTATACACATCCGGCAAGATAATAAATATTTTGTCTGCTTGCCGGCAAATCTATGCAAATTAGTATTTCCCCACATAATATCACTCGGGTTTCGGCGCTTTTTTTGCAAATTTAAACGTTTCTTGCTAATAAACTTTGCCAAATTTATAAACGCTTATTCTATCAGCGAACCAATTCTAAAGACTAATTTGCCAGTGTTTGATTCAACGCTAACAATTTTTGTTAAAATGGCGAATGCCACTCACGGGTTGAAATGTGGTTTCTCTAAGATCCAAAGACGACAAGCTGAACTATTAGAAAAACACAAAGGGTTTCCAGAAAATGCGCTTAAGAAACTTACAGAATCCGTCTGTAGGAGGCAACAAAGCCCTTGCCGCGCTGCTGTGTAATACTCTCAATAATGCATCAAAGCCCTTTCGAATGTGGGAGATTTCGAGACGCTGAGTTCCTTTTAATCTTTTTCCTTTATACAATACGGTGGCTGGGTGATGAGCGCATTCGCCATACCGCATGTGCAAAGCGCCATAATTTGAGGAATAAATGTGTTAAAAGGCAAATTCGGCTCTTGTCTGTTGGTCTTTGGACTATTGCCGAAACGGGAAGACTTTACCCCACAAACGCCGCGCAATCTGCGTTGGCGTAACCCCATTAAGAATGGGCCTCAGATATGGTCCGGCGGTTCCATTTGCTTAACGAGATTAGGGGGCAAGATGTCGCGCTCGGTTGATGTGGGAAAAATGCAGATAAAAGTTAAAGATCTCACTGGAACTAGTGCCTATGACTAGTGCTAAACTGGCTCCATATATGTAGAGCAGGGCTGCGCCCAGATGCAATTAGAGCCGCTCCAGCGAGTGCCCGAAAGCTTGGAAAGCCGGGGATTATTTAATTTAATGCGGCAGATTCACTCTGCTAACAAGGGCCGATCCAGAGGGGGGGTCATGGGGGTCATGACCCCCCCCATTCAATTCTCTATGCAACGATGCCAAAACAAATTCTGTGGCTCGAATGGTTCTTGAGAAACTTCGAAAAAAGG